GCACACCACAGTCCAATCACTTGTTAAGGTTGATCCACTTCAGCTATCAGTCACTCTTTGTTGTCATGATTTCCTTTTACTGCTAAATGGAGCTGAAGGGCGCAGACCTCCTGGATATCAGCAAACAACAGACTTCACTGACGTTGTTGCTGTGCCAGGCTCTTCCCCTATACTTTCCGTTTTGGTAGCATACTTCATCCGCGGCTGACGTCCAACAGCACCATACTGTGTGAATGTAGCACTGCTGGAATTTCTAAGCCTGAAGCTCACTTTTGTTCAGCAGAGGCAATAAAAGGACTGTATGCCACTTAAATCACGTTTACACCCTGTTCAGGGGGTTCACAGCACGGTGTGCATATTCTGCCCTTTCAGGATAGAGGTGAAGTTCATCCTAAAATGAAAACAAAGCGTAAGCCAGGCTCGTTAAGGTGCCTGGTGGGATTTAAGGCTTACTTTAAATGACTTATCGACATCTTACTGCAGATTCACTTCTTGATTCTGTAATATCCTTCTCCAGTCACAAGACTTTAAATTTTACAGTCGCTTCTCTAGAAATGCCTATTAAAAAAGGGGAAAGAAAAGAAGAAAGAAAAAATATCATTGACTTCCATGAGTTCCGCCATGCAATCACTGCTGTGGCCATACAGGCATTATGTTTATAATATGTGTGCTATAAAAGTACAGTTAAAATCAGCAGGATTCACAGACTTGAAAATAGCTATGCTAATTTCCTTTGAACAGCCTCAAATACTAAGCTTCAGTGATAGGAGTTTGGGTTAACTATACGAAGTGAATGAATGAATGACTTTAAAGAGAGACATTTATGTAATGCCTCCCATAACATTTTATAGTCAAATGTGCAGTGAGCCTGCATAGTGAGAAAAGGTGTGACAAATAATGTTCCAATCTCCTGCTGACTATCTCTCACCGTATAGGCATAATTTCTATGCTAAGGAGACAACTTGTTCTCCAGCCCAAAACATTTTATTTTAGCAACATGTATAATAAAAACGGAGTCACTAAGGAAATGTAGTTGTAACTATGTTGCTAAAAGTGCAGTGGCTCACACTAAATAAATTAGAGTATTAGAAGTACACAAGTTGTGAATGTAGAAGTCCAAAATAAAGTCATGTGAGAAACCACGCTGAGCATGGACTCAAACAACGTGCCTGCAGGCTGTGAACAAAACGCCCACCCCCATCGTTTCTGCCGTGTGTTCCTATCTACATTCCTTGATATTTTATATTTTCAACACCATTTCTTCTCATTGTTTGAAAATGAAGTCTAATTATTTTTCTTATCCTGATGCTTCTCGAGCTCCATTTAAATCAGTGGCAAGGGTTTTTAATTAAAATAAATTAACATTACTAGCTATAATTCTTGGAGTGTGACTGCAGGAAAATATGTATTTTTCAATGCATCCTTTTGGTATATAATCTGATTTTATACTGCTTATGTAGTGATTGAACGATTGCTCTTAACACCATGCATTAATTCTGTAGATTGTTACAACTGTGTGGAGCTTATTAGCTCTAATAAATAGATTGGGCATACTGTACAAATACCCCTTGCTTGCAGGGAGCAAAATGGTAGCTTACAATTTAACAGTGGGTGCATTTGTGGGTGAAATTCAGAACTGGGAAGTGGGCCAGTTCCCAGTGATTTCGTTTTTCAGTATAGAGCATCAATGCAGAAATCTTTCACTGGAGAAGGCAAGCCAACTTTCCTGACCCTAATGGTCCAAAATGGCTCTATGGCTGGGAGCCACAAGACACTGAGTACGCAGCTTTGGGAGCCAGGGAGAGGGGAAGGCCAGGAGCAGGGAGCAGCTGGCACTGGTTCCCAGTCACAGGGAGGGCTGGTGTGGAGGAGGCCTGGGCAGGATGCTTGGCAGCCCTGTGACAATGCCAAATTCAGCAGCCGGTGGCTCATGTTCCCCAGCCATGGGTGGCACTTGGAATGGTTGGGAACCACAGGTTAATTTCTCTAGTCCTCATACTGTGAAGTACAATTTCCCTTACGTATTCTGTTGTAATATTTGTATTACTGCAACGTAAGCACTCCATTTAATTTCCATCTACGTACTCCATTGTAGAGCAAAACAGCATCAAACCATAAGTATATTATTTCGTATAAAGTTACTATATGTTAAACCAATATAATATAAATTCCTGTGCCTTACTAAATAATTACAGTCCCAAGCATGAGGCAGTCACTTCTGAGAAGCTGGAACACAGTCACTTGTCCTTCCAGCTGATGAATCTTCTCTTGTTCAGAAAAAGGGTGGAGATAGAAAAGTAGGCAGTAAAGATTTCAGCTTTGTCATTAATCCATGAAATGCCTTCGAATAAATCTCATTCTAAATTTAGTGACTAAAAGAACAGTGACTGAAATTCAACAGAAAAATAGGTGTTTCTGTCCAAGCTGTGTCTGACATTGGGGTGAGCAGCTCAGCATCCATCCACATTAGTCAACCAGTAACCGACTTTAAGGCAAAGCTGTTTGGCTGCATAAGTTGAACCTTGGCTACATCTTCTTGTCTTCCATTCAGCTATTTCCTCTCCAGGTTTTCTTAATAATTTTCTACACGGAAATTGGTTGGATTCTCAGTGTCTCATAATGGAAAAGGCACAGAACACATGAAATCAGGAAGAAATAAATTATTTTCTGTATCCAAACTGAAGAGTTTCAGGGTAGGATTCTGGGCTTGAGAACTATCTCCTAACCACAATGTTTTCTTGTTGCCAGGCCTTGTGGTACATACTGTGTTCTTGTTGTGGTGACAGACTAAGTTCCTACACCACGAGTAAATGTCAACCCGACGAAAGTGAACAATATTGAACTCAGTGTGACAGTTAAATCTGCCGCCTTTCAGAACAGTGGAACTTTAGCAACAAACCAGACGACCTAGTTTAGTTTTGATTCATTGCCACAAAGGAGCTAGATCGAATCTCACTTCTTGAGCAGTCGTAAAATTCTCTTCTGCTGCTCACTGTTGTGCACCGACGCTCTGAAATGCAGAATTCCAGGCACATGTAAGAAAACACCAACTTGCCATGGAAGATTTATTGGTAAGGCAATGGTCAAATTGTTTCTTTATATGCAGCTCTAAGCCTGGAACAGCTTCCTTCCTTCTCTCCAACAGATGAGAACAAAATCTGCCTCATTTAATCTAATTTTGTCTCCGCCAACAGATCCTTCTCTCTAGTTCAGGTCTGCAGAGCTGATTTTTAATATAACTTCAATTAGAGTAAATATATAAATAAATCTCAGCATAGAAGCTTCCAATATTTCTCTGGATGTTTTATAACTCCCTCTGTTAAGCAAGTAACTACTTTTTTTTTCTTTCTTTCTTTTTTTTTTTTTTCCAACACTGGCGTCTGTGACACCTGGAACCCTGGAAGATCTAACATTTGCTTGGCCAAAAGGTTCTGCCTTGGTGCAACAGGATCAGCGTTCAGCTGGGGCTTCTGGATGCTGCTCTACTACAAGCAAAACAAAAAGAACAGTCAGATGAAATGAACGGTATGTTGGATATGTCTTTGCACGTGTAAGGATGTGCTGAGGATATTAAATCAAAACAATATATTGACAGAAATGGATGTTCTCATAAAACCAAACGGATCAGGTAGCAGCCATCACTAGCAGCCAGCAGCGCTCCTTAAATGCTGCTACGCCATTTGTGCTGCATGGTTTTCCTTGTGCCTACGTAAGCGTGTGCGCTGTGCTGGCTCCCCCTCCTGCACTGCAATACGTAGGAAGCTGTTATTCCCAAACGGAGCATTTGCTTGCTGACATCACATGCAGCAGGACCCTTTTGTTTGCCTGTGTCTCCTGCACTGAGATGTTTGCCTGAGTCACGCATCCCGCTGCCTTTCTTCCTCTCCGTCTTGCTTCTGGAGAGCTTCTCCCTGAGTCATGGTTTTAAAATTTTCATAGAGCCCAGTTTGCAGTATGGCAACTGACTACTTTTCCTTTTAATATTTTATTATGTAAATTTTATCTTAATACTATAATGATCCAAAAATCACTGTCACTTTTTTTTTTTTTTTTTTATTGCAGCTTTTTAAATAGTTTTGTGACTCAGATTCAGTGCTGAATTTTGTTTCAAGGCAACGTCAGTTTAGCGTTACTAAATTAAAAATTAAAGATAGTGACTCCCACAACTTGAATTTCCTATTTACTCTTCTGGCTGAATTTCCTCAGCTATAACATCATCAAACTGTGCCAGAAAGGGGGTCAGATGTGTGTGTGTGTACTGACAAACGCTTCTCACAACTGAAGAAATTACCATTTCGCACTGCAGTACCTTTTTTCTCCTCAAATAATCTTATTGATTTGTTTTGTTAATAAAAAAGGACAGATCCCTGCTGTTTTTCAGTGGATAATCATTCATTTAGTTTAGATTCTGAAGCTGCTAATATACTGCTGGTGTCTAAGAAGCCTGGGTCTCCTCTTTGTTAAATGAAAGCCACAAACAAAGCACATTCCAATTACAGAATTTTCATTCTGAAAGCTTTGGTAAAAGAATATGGAAAGCTAAGGGCTGAACAGCAGTTTGGCTCAAGCTTGAGTAGAGATAGAATGTTCTCACCAAAATAGAAACATAAAATTGCATTAAATTTTTTGTCCTTCAAATCTAGCCTTTTTGTCTCTATTGTTATCAACACGAGATAAATGAGAAGTTCAGAACAGTGCTTGACTGCCCTTGATCAAGGACTGAGCAGCAGGTAAGGGCTAACGCCCCATTCTGGCATAGCATAAAGCACTCATTTATCTTAAAGCATCGCTCAACAGCTCCACAACTTTCTGCCCTGATTTGAGGCACCTGAGCAGATTGCTGCATGGAACCTCGTTACAATTCAGATGCACACAGAAACAGATGACTGACCAAGAACTGTGTCATTAAACATACTGCACTGGATGCTCGCATTTCCTGCTGTTGTTTTTTTTAACCCCAAGCAGCTGTATCCTTCATCTCAAAAAAAGCTGAAGCCTCATCATATAAAATAGATTTTATTATAAAAGTAAAATCATGCCATACACAGGTAATTTTTCTGCCAGAAAAAAAAATTTCATATTACAGTTTTAACAATAAAATAAAGTCCAGAGTAGGAATTTAAAGAACCTCTCCGGCTGCCTCTGGCTGCATGCTCTCTCCATGGTTGTTCTCATGCAGCACAGCTTTTTGGAATGGTTCTTCTGAATCACTGTTGCTTTTCCTCTTCTCTCCGTGGCCGTTTGCGAGGGTTCATTTCAGTACCTTCTGCATTTTGGGTGACAGGTGGAGGCTGCACATCTCGGAAGCCCTGAGGCTGTAATATATAAGTGAAATCACGTGATATTACTTCTATAGATACAGAGCATGAGTAACTCTAGTTCCCAGAAGATCAGAATGAGGCATGATGCTATCATTTATTTTAGAAGAGTGGATGCAGAATGCTTCTAGATGAGGTTAAGCTCAGAACTGAAAGGTTTTCAACACAGGTGGCCACTAGTTACTGTCTCTGCTTCCTTTCACCAGTGATGCTACCATTTGCATTTTACTCTAACAACCCCTGACTACATAGCGGTGCTTTTCTGCAAATTAACTTATGCTGCTTATTTAAATAAATTAAAAGCCAAATCCTTCAGCCCAGATTCAAGCCAACCTCCTGCAGAACAAGGAGATGAGCACTGGATTAACTGCCTCAGCCATCTTCAGAAACAGCACTGAAAATCTTCTGAGACCTCCTTCTGTTTCATGCGTCTATTTAATGAACTGAAAACACTGAGGAGACACTGTAAGAGAAGCAGACACCTCATCTGGCCTTTGCAGTCAGCAGGGACAGTCCCAGCACAGTGATTTATGGGACACAATGGGCTGAGTACTTTTAACTGCCAAAACCTAAATGTAGAATTGAAAACTAGATGCTGCTACATAGTAGAGAGCTTAAGGTGATCTATTCTGCTTAATACCATTGGTATTTTCTGTTACATTACCTCACGGTTTGATGATCTTACAAGACTTTAGAAGATGGAAGATCTGAAAAATCAGTTAGCTAAATGTCATCAGTTATTACATAACACCGAGACGTTATGTGAAGCCTTCAACTGCTTTATCTCCAAATGCTGTGTAGGGAGCATTGCTGACAGCTGAGTGAAGGACTCACTGTACTGCAAACTCAAGAGAGGAAAAAGTGTTAATCAGAAATTGTTCTGAGGATCCTAAGTGCTCAGGTCGAGACAACACAGGGCTGAGCACACTTCAGGAAGGCTGACACTTCAGGTTACTGCAGTGTGAAAAATCAGGGAGAATTACTACCAGATGTGTGACTTTTTCAAAATGCCACTATGTCCTGCATCAAAATGAAGCCAAGATAAGACCAATCACAATGTTTTGCTTGTGCCTCATCTCTGTATTTCTATTTCTAAATGCCTCACCTCATGTAGCCTGCTATGTTTGAAGGGAGCAAACAGCAAGAGGTGCCACGAGGGCAGGACCTGTGCGGTCCCTCTGCTATTTTGAGCAACTCAAGTGTTATTCTAAATAGCATAATGGGGAATCTTCAAGTTTAGTGTTTCACTGCTGCTTGCATCTAATCTCTGCTATTTCCCTTAGGCACAAAGGTGGATCAAAGCCAAGAATCCACTTAATCTAGCATGCTAGACTCTCAGTAAAAGCATTCCGGGGCTATAAAGGCTATAAAGGCCAGAACAAGATGAACCAGGCTGCTCAGTATGGTTGTTTTGCGTTTGGTTAAAGGCATGTACACAGCCTCTCTCCAGTGAGAAAGAAAACAAGAATTTTGTAAGTACATGCAATGCTTGTTAGCAGTTTAATATGGAGAAAACATGGCTAGCAGAACTAAGGCTGAAAAAGGCTCCCTTGGACCTGCACAGCTCCCACCACAGATGCGCCCATCTTGGGTTGTTCTTCAGTGTTTCCCTGGCACCTACAGACTACACCAGAACTGATGCCTTTATTACTTTAAAGGCATTCTCATTGTTAGTCTGACAGACTCTGCAAATTTCAGGGAAATATGAACAATTCTTACAATACAAGTTCTGGATCCCTATTTTTCATGATCAAATAATCAGGTCATATTACCTGGGAAATTTAGATGAATCAGATGAGCCATTTACTCCTTTGTGCTTAAATCAATTCACATTTCTATACTCTGCACTTAAGAATGAATCCTCATCAGCCTATGAAAGAATTATTTGATAGGCGTTCCATAGCTTCCAGGCTTGCTCAGACTGGTGGCTGATCTGCCAATGTGCTGGAAAAGAAACAGCTGGAAAAGAACTGGAGCTTCAGGCACTCAGTCCCATACTTCTCCACCAGTGTACAAGCACTGATCAGCCAGATGTCAGAAGTACCAAACTATCTGATTTGCACTGAATTTAATGGCAGTTATAATCCTATGCATCTTAGATGTTGTTGTTTTTTTAAAATTGTCTGCTGTTTATACACAGATGTCCTGCATCATACTTGGAAGCACTGAACACATATTTACATCTTCCAGTTTAACTACTGAGATGAGAATGAGAAATGGTAACAGCAAACAATTATTGTCAGACCTGCTTTTCATGACAGAAACATTGATAATGCATTTTTTACTCACAGAAACATCTGAAGCAGCTCAACAGGATTAAAGGAAAAAACACAGGGATAGTCTGAAGTTGTAAGTAATCTTTGGTTAAGATATGCTCTCTACTGTACATCAAGATTGTGGACGAAGACAGCATAGCTGTTCTATAATATGTACAAAGCTGAAATGGCAATTAAACTAAGAGAATCCAATATTTGGCAGCTGCACAGACAGGGCTGCACAGCTGCATCACATGATCTGAACAACCTTGGGATGTGGTCCCATTTTCCTGTCCAGCCTTTACAGAACTGATAAACAAATAAATAAGTAACTAAAAATAGTGGGAGCATTTAGAGCTGGAAAAAAACCCCTTGAATTCTGCTCAATATCTTGAGGACCTCATTTTAGGGCAGCACTAAAATCTGCAGGAAATGCTATGGCAACGTGTTTCCATGAGGACACAGAGCAAACAGTTATGGCATGTACCTATGTATCTGTCATTTGAAGACACAAGAACAGAGTGCTTGTTTTTTAACCTATAATCAGCTTAAACAATATATATTTTCAATATGTATCTAAGCACTCAACAAAAGTAAACTATCACAGGATTTCCCTAGGGCTGAATGAGGACTCCAGCTGGAATCTCATCATACAGTGACAACAGAAGAAAAAATACACACTTCTGTATATATGGCCTGGCCATAGGGTCACCAGTAGGACAGAGCTGTGAAAGATAGAAGTACAACCTCTGTTGTGTCAGGCAATGAACAGGCAGAGATCTGGAGGTCTCTGGAATGCCGTGAATGATTCTGGTCAGCCTTGCCCTAAAAATGACAAATCAGAACAGATGCAGTTTCCCCAGCCACTGGGGAAACAAACAATGTGACGGAAGAAAGCAGCTTGGCATCCTGAAGGAAGGCTCCAAGTGCAAGACTCTCCTCTGTAATTGTACTTAGGCCAAGAGTTGACATGAAGGGCAGATAAACTGTGCAGCACTGGGACAAGCAGAAATGGGCACAGGATGCCTGTAAATCTGATGGTTAATCTGGAAACATCCTGGTGTTCCTGGCTGCCTTCAGAAAGAAGCTGAAAGGCAGCACGAAGAAAGCGAGCAGCATTCTCAGGTCTGCCAGCGTCTGACAATTTCTTTACATCCAACACTTCGTTCCCATCTCTGTATCTCCATCCCAAGAGAAATACTAACTGTAATGTTATATGGTATGGTTGACTCCTTCTGACTCGGTGATTTGTACAATGTTGCCAACCTGGTTTAAAAAAAAATAAAAAAAAAATTATTGTCCGTGAATACGATATTAAAAAATCATAAGCAACCAAATGGCCAGACCCAAGTTTTCCCACAGTCATTGATAGGTGACCAGTGGAATCTGTGTGTGCATTTTCACAGTGGTCAGTTAAATTCTGGATGCCAAAATCCCACCCCTGTGCGACCTGTCAGCTCAAGTACAATTCAGACCTGCTAACGAAGAGCAATCAATTAGCCTTGTTTCATTACAGTAATTCCTCACATTCTTGGAACAATATCAATTCTGAATTAATTTCAAATGCTACTTTCTTAAAATGCAAACAAAAACGATTTTAAGCACAATTCTCCATAAAGCAACTATTTTTTGCTTGGCCTCTCAACGCTGGGAGATACCCACAAGAATTCAAAAACTTCCAGGGAGTTTTTCTCCCTAGGTGTTTCACAACCTGGCAATAGAACCGAGCAGATGCAGAACGAGAACAAAATGTTCTGTTTCCAAGCCTGACCTTGCCAGTGACATACAGCATAACCTGGAGTAAATAGCTTTTCTTCTATTTCTTCTCTAACACTTCCTTGGCTTCATGCATTTAGAGTCTAAGCAATGCATCCTGACTTGAGCTCACGCTGCACGTAGCCCAGCAGGCACCTGCATCATACAGAGAAGACTGCAAAACACCTCAACAGCAAGGGATTTTTCAACCAGCTCTAAGGCTGTTAGTTTGCACTGTGCCCACCTGCACAAAACTACACCAATGCAAAGCCAATAAAGTGTTCTCTCTGTACCAGGACAGTCTGCCAAGGATCCTGTTAATTATTTTTGTTTTTTTCTTTTTTTTCTCCCTGAGGTGCCATTCTATTAGAGAGCACGTAATTACAGCCTGAGGAACACTGCCACTTCATATTAGCCACGCAGGGAATTCCTCAGAACATCTAAGTGGTGGGTTGTACTTTACAAAATAGCCTAAATCCAAAGCTGCAGAAGCCATGCTTTCACAAGCGCTCAGCTGGAGCTCTGCTGCATAACTGACTCAAAAGGATCTTTCCTCACTGCACTGAGAACCCTTGTAATTAAGCTCTGACATTTCCTGTGCCAAAGAAAAGAGATGGGTCTCGTACTTAGTCAGAGTGCAGTAAAAAAAGACAAATGGATTCTCAAACGGTCATCTTTGCACCTCAGGAGCCCAAAAACAAGATTAACCACAACGGATCATCAGGCCCAAGTAGCTTATGCTACAAACGCAGCAGAATCTAGCTACTTCTGCTTTTTACAGACATGCAACTGTAACCCAAACTGCTCTGCTTCTGCAGGCCTTGCTCCCTATTAGCTGCATATTTATAACGGTGAATGAAACATGTCTGCCTGTCCTTGGCTTTATTTCTGGAACCGACACCTCCCAAATTACTAGCTGCGCTGCAGAAGGAAGGAAAAAAAGCTCTTCACTTCTGATATACAAAATTAACTTTTGTTCATTCTGTAATCATCATGTTGATGCAATTTCTCCCTTATAAAGACTTAACTAATCAGTGCAAATTTAATTCTAAACTAAACAGCCAGCTGTAATCATTCTGCATTGCCTTCACCCTCGGAATTCTTAGAATTTAAAAAACAAAATTCCACAAGAAAGTGTCACTGCTCTTCAAGTTTAACAAGCAGAACTGTGCACTACAACATTCCAGCAGCATTTTTGTTCACTGTTTGCAAAAGGATTAAAAAATCAAATGAAGGCTTCTTAAGTCCCAAGTTGCAGCACTGTGATACTAAAATGCAAGTTGAACCCAAATGAGCAAGGAATAAAAATATGCTTGTAATGCAGCAAAGAGGTGAAAAATGTACCAGGAAACAAAACAGATCTCACTGCAACAGGCAAAACCTTGTACCATTTTTAGAAGGGCCATCTTCTCCCCTTGGGCTTTTAAGCCCATCTCCCATAGGCGCACTCTACACTGTGAGTAAGGTGGCTCTCTTTCCAACCCTCCACTGTACTGTAGCTTTATGCAGCTGCTCAGTTCTCCAGAGCCATCGGGTGACATTTAAAAGCAGAAAGAGCCAACAGCTGCCACTGAGGTGCAGGGCTCAGTGGGCCTGTAGTCTTCCTAAGAATTAGTATGTAGATGGAAAGCCCTCTTGAGCATCAAATGAATTTACACAGACTGCACCATGCAGACTGAAGTACAGAAATTCCATTCCCTGCTTGCAAAATATGGTGAGACTGAATTTTTGATAGAGCCAAACTCCCATAGAAGCAAGGATTCTTGTGTCTGAGCAAGTGCCATTACAATGACTTGGTCGGCCGTGGCACAGCACCTCAGCAACAAACCACACCAAAAAGGAAAAGCACAACGGTGCAGCTCACACTGCTTAGCTCAAACGAGACTTTTCTTGATCTTCAACAGCCTGGGTCACAGAAGACCAAGGACAAAACTCAAATTTAAAACCCTGCTTGGCCATTAAAGCCCATTTGAAAAAGATCCAATGTCACACTTGTCAGTCCTACTGCATACCTTTACTGGCCTATATTTTCACTCACCTCTGAGTGTTGTCCCAGTGAAAGATTAAACGCACGGTAGCAGCATGTCCCCAGCTTTCTCCTGCATAACAGAAATTTATTCATCTCCTTTAAAAAATAGCAGCTTCATAAATTGAACTGAAAGTAAACCAGTCTTAAAAAGAAAAAAACAACACCAAAAAAACATGATTAAGCCCATGTATCTTTCTTGCAGAAACAACTCCCATCTTTTTCACACATACAAGGATTTCACATCTAGTTCATCAAATAGACCAAGACAATGAATAATCTCTGTGTTTTATAGAAAGCTTGACGCAACACCTCTCTATCTGTAGAAGAAATGAACATGTACCTCATAAAGGACAGGTACGAGACAAATCCTGAAAAGAGGCACCATGAAAAAAGATCTTTCTTATGACTGTAAAGAAGTCTAGGTAGTATGTCTAAATCCTACTTCAAAATTGCGGCGTTCTCTCTCTCAAGCATAATCATGAGCAAACATCACTCCCTTTGGGATACATGCTTTGGGAGAAAGTCAATGATTATTGAAGTATTAAGGGCCCCTGAAGCAGTCTTCCACTTCTGACAGAAGAATGCAAACAAACACAACCATAAGTGAAGGGAAAAGAAAAAGAGAAGGAAGGTTGGAATGTATTTCATGGGAAATGGCCCTACTGTTTCAGCTCAAACCTGGCAAGCTCAGACAATTTACAGACACACTTTTTACTGGGTGTTTTTTTCTGTTTGTCCCATGAGACATTCAGCAGTCTGAAGATGGATTAGATTTTAAAGGAGTCGTTTGGGTTAAGTGCCACAAGCCTGCAGCAGCTCTAACTTCTGAATCACTTATTTGTTGGATCTCCATCATGTCAACAGGCCCACATGCCCTGTGTGCTCTGGTATTCATTAAAGCACGGAGAAGGAAAACGTGATTCAATGATAGGGAAGACCTGGACCCTCTGGGCGTCCTGCCAGACTCTGTTCCATTATACTGAAATTGAGATTAGAGATTTTGGTTATCAGATACAGTTCTGAGTCAGAGATCAAAACACATTTTACAATGGGTATAAATTCCACACCAGCACGTTTCCAACTATATTGAACATGAGTGAAAAATGCTACCATAAAATGAGACATTTCTGAGTTAAAACTGTTTGCAGATTAATATTTGACCTCTTTTCTAAATATATCGAATAGAAATGTCTGGGAACAGCCAGCTTAGCTATCACTAGTGAGAAAGAGAGCTGCCTTCCGTAAGGCTTTGACTTAATACCTTGCAGCATCTGTGCTTTTTTCCCCCCATCATAATTAAGAACTTCCCTTCTGCTAGGAAGATGAGTAAGAGTTTAGAGATTAATGTTCTTGTAAAATCTTAGAAATTTCTAAGGCTTACCAGTCAATGAGGGGAAAAAAAATATGTAGGGGAGGCAATAGGATTGGTTTTACTTGGGTTCTGCTCCTGACCCTCCCCTCAACAGCTTTATTGGCTAAAAGCAACCATAGAAAAGCATGAGGTTCTTCAGCCTTTACAATGAGGCTTTTGAAACAGCATCCCTTAAGAGTGGGTCATAAAAACCATCCAGTAATCCATCAGCTCAATGTTTGTACTGCGTCTTTGGAATAAATTCACATCCCACTGAAAGCAGCTCTGGAGCACTCCAAAGTACTCCACTTGAGATACTGCCGTTTAGGATGAGCAGAACACCTCCTCGCTGAATCTTTTACCAGCTGCTACAAACCCTCAATTCTGCAAGAGTGCACCCCATTTAGTTTAGCTACACCACGTGGTTGTGCATATTCTGGTGAGAGCCACAATCAGTTTATGGTCAATAGGAAGTTATGTCAAATTACACATTTGTAAAAATAAGTACATGCACCAGACAATACCTGATGTCTTTGAGTTGTAGCCTACTCTGAATCCTTTCACACTCCTTCCTGTCCCTATGACTTAAACACAACAGATCTCAAACACTGCTGGTTATTTTTTTAAGATGGAATCTATCAGCTCTAATTCAGCTTATAGCCAGAAAGGCTGCTTAAAATAACTAATACTTCAGAGAGCAAGAGGCAAAAACGACAAAAAGGGTCAGGTACTGAAAGCTGGTTCTTTATCTGCATGCACAGCTCAAAGTTCCACATTCTCCAAGGAGATGATCTGTATTTGTTCATCTTATCTTACATCTGTGCCAAATGGTTCAATGCCTGCACAGACACTGAGAACATCTCTGCTTTTGTTCTGTCTCCTTTCTCTCCTTCCTCTGCAGAACAAGAGGTTCATTACTTAATTCACAGAAACTGAAGCAGTGGACAGATAATTTGTGCCCTTTAACTGCATCACAAAATAATGTAGTTACAACCTGTAAGAAGAAAAAGCTCAGCATTTAGCTCCTAATTTGTCTATATCTCTACTTCAGAAGAACTGTTCTATTTTCCCCTATGACCACAGCAGAAGACTCCATCCGAGGTACTCTGCTCATCACAGGGCAAAATGGAATCGTCTGAAAAGAACTTTAATTCTCTGTGGGCTGGCTGTAGTTGAGGATCTCACACAGAACTTCCCTCTGTATCATAATTGCAGAGATTAATGGGTAGAGGGTTCCAGCTGTGCACCAAATATGAAACACTTCTGTTTCAAACAGTAAATGGCAACATGTTCAAGTGTAATGGCAAAACAAATGATTTAAATTTCATTGGAGAGGCAGTGGATGATTCTCTGGATAACTTCAGTGTATTCTGAGGGGTGTGACCACGAAGCTGTGGACATGAGTTCCTGTTATTGTTTAACTTATTCATCACAGTCTTTCTGGTAGAAGTTTAAAGCCCATACTGCCATTCCTACATTCTTTGTATGATCCATCACCAGCAAGTTTCATCTCAATTACCTCATCTGCCACCAGCTTACTTATTATTTAAACAGTTGAGGCTTACCTGGCCCACTTCTGGCAGAAAATGGGTTGGGAGACAAACAGCTCAGCCAGCACGAAGGATGTGGCAGCGACCACCAGCAGGGCTGCTGGCCTCCTTAGCTGACACTGCTGCAGCTGGAACACCTCCACAGCCTACCATCCTCAGGGGAAAGCTGCAACGCATTTGCTGCAGGTCTAAATCTAGCTCCTAGTCTTCATACCATGTGCTTCTTAGGGTGTGATATTGTCTCCTTAAAGAACACTGATAGATCTAATTCACAGTTTACTAATAATTTTTTGTTGTTGTTCCCGATGCCAAAAGTAAGGAAATCATGCCCAGTGCAAAAGCTAAACACCTACCTAATGCAGGTACCAACATGGACTGGTTTTGTCCAAACCTGGTTGTCATTTGGTTTGTCAGAACAACCTGAAAGAGGAAACAAGCAAATAAACAATGTTTCCAGAAAACAGATTGGGAGGGAAGGCTGGCATTTCTAAAAAGTTTTTATCAATCAAGAAGTTACTTGAGCAAAACTCCTGCCATTGAAATGAAGCGTTTGTGTTAACAAGAAGAAACTAGAAAGGCCCCTCACCTTTTCCTCAATAGCCAAAACAAAATAAGAAAACTCTGAAAAGTGTATTTTCAGTTTGCATGAAAGGAGCATTAATTTCATTCAGGGTTAAACAAAAATAAAAACAAAACCTACTCCCCCTAAATTTCTTCCTTCCCGAGGGACATAACTTGTATCTTCCATTGTCTTTGTACTGAATACCATTAGGATCTGTATTTAGATGCATGTGTCTTGTAATAGCCCTCTATAAAGAGATAACAGTTCAGTCACCCTGGCTAAAGTGAACCTGATGCTGCACAAAGCAGGGATCAACCCGGTGATTAACAGAACTGCTGCACCTCGTAGTCTAAAAATGCGCAAGAGAGTACAACACAAAGCAGGATGGAAGGGAACAGACAGAGCGGGGGAGTGTTTTCGCAGCACGAATCACTCGTAGGAGGTTCACAGACAGTCTAGGTTAGATCTCTGGTAGAAATGAGGGTGGGTGAGACAGAAAAGAGCCAGGAATATTAACTGCAAAGTTCATTAAAAATGAAGAATAAAAAAAAATGGTATCTATCTTAAACTGCAGGGATTTTCACTCTTTGTCATGCCTGTAAGCCAGAAAAGAGCACTGAGCACACGGGGCTCACACCAAAACACTCCTATAGCTGAAAGCCTTGAGACACAGCCTGCACATCTGAAAAAGGTTCCTCATCCTGAGCAGATGATAACAATTCCACCAAGGCTGCCCATCTCATTGTTGCAGAACGGTTGTTTCTGGGCATTCCAGCACAACCCAACTGAGTTCAGCTTTAGAATCTAAAGAAACCTGCTTCCTGCCATATCAGAGCACTCAGACTGCCCAGCTTTGCTGCCAGTCAAGCAATTTCTGGCATGCCAGATGAATTTAATTCCACATAGCTTGCAAACAGTCTAACTCAAATACTAACAAAGAAGGTCACCGAACCAAACAATTTCTGAAGCCCTGTGATTGATTACTTCTTTATCAAGTGTTTATTTAGCAACTGTTTGTATTAAACTGCTCACTTGTTCAACAGAAAAGTTATGTTTCCCTTGAACAAAGAAAAAGAGGCTATACAATGACAACCACTCCCTTTCAAGGTCACCAGGTACCCAATTTATGAGTGAAAGCACTCAGAACAGGAGGCTGTGCAAACAAAGCAGTCACATAACATTTGTCTCCCTTGGTGCCCACACCAAAAGGAGGAACCTCCATAATTCACATCACGAAGGAGAGGGGGAACACTTTCAGCAGTAAGCACAATCACTGAACCAAAGCAGAGCTGTGCTCCTTCCTGCAGCTAACAGAGGATGCACAAGGGAAGGCTTATTTTTAGCAGTTACGAACAAAACCAATTGCACGAGAGAGTTGTGGGCGACAAGGAAGCAAATCACCTGGAAACAGCTGCAGGAGCAAGCACCATTTTGAGACCGTGTAAGCTCTAATTCCTGAACAATGCTTTTCTGTACTTCAAAAGACTTGTCAAAACAACTTCTGGAACAGATGCAGCTTCTGAGTGCCATCTGCTGGCTACCGGCTGCACCTTGGTGGGCCTCCACACAGGCACAAATGGTGCAGCAACAATGCCCAGGAAGGAAGCAATGGGCTTCCACGGGTGCCAAAACAGCAAACCCAACTCCAGCAGGTAATTGTTTTTCCTTCCTAGGAACAGATTTATTTTTACACCAACAGGAGTTGTTGTAACTGCTAAATATTCCAAAGTATTTTATTGCATGTGCGCTTTGCAGGCAGGAAAGAGTAAAGAAGCATTCTATTTCCAACCCTGTCCTGCAAGAAGATTATGTGAAACCATGACAAAAATGACATGCTAGGATTTGAGATTCCCAGGACGCTTTTTATTCAATTTTTACTTATTTTGGCAAGACCACAATTTTTCCATCTACCCAGTTTTGCCTGTGCTATCTATCTATGCTTCCAATCAAACTGACAAACGTTACAGTAAAGGACATCCCTTCAGCTTTACTTTGCCATCTGCAATTACAGATAATTAAAGACAATTACAGATCACACTGGCTGTATTCTTTGTCATGCATTTATTCCCAGGTAACTCTCTTATGATGTAACTCTGCCCCAGACCTACCGCTGCTTTGTGATCATTTGCTATGATGATCAGCTGCTGTGCCAGACCATTCAGAAGCCGTGTTCGAAGTGAGAGGTCCTCAAAATCATGGCGGAAGGGAAAGGCAATTCCATCAATTACCACCAGTCGGACCTAAACACAGAAGGAAAGGAAAAAACGACCACTGCTTTCATAATGAAGAGCTGTAAGATTCCTTCTTAACAGCTTCAGAATGTTTTGTACGAGGTAACACAAAATTTGATGCTCTGATGTGTGTGACAGCACAATACTGTTACTGGAGACAAACAGCAGCAAACCAGTGCAGGGTAAAGAGCCCTAAGGTCCAAACACGCTGGTAAGTGCAGTACTGCATTGTGCACACAAAGCTCAGAATGCATCTGCATTAGCTTGAACAAAATGTTGCTCTAAACCTTTCCATTATTTAATTCAGAACAGAGCTGCTGTTCCAACTCTTTCCAGTTTCAAATCTCATTCACTTAGAGCTCACTTATCTCTGGTACAGAATACAACATGACAAAGCTGGACTTAAGGCCTTGAAGAAAAGCTGTAGAGGAAAATCAGAAATGTACTTTTGTCAACTCTCCACAAACACTATTTTACTTTACCTTCTCCCTCAAAAAACAAAGTCCAAACCATAGCTAGAAGACGTGCTGCTTGCAGTCATCGTTAAGATCATCAGGTTCTGTGGGTCCTGTCTGCTTTGCAAACATGCATTTTAACAGATGCCTTAAGATATTCCAGATGCTGTGTAATGGAGCTGAGTATCTGCCTTGCCTGGAGATGTTTGCTTTGCTTATTAATTATCACTTCTGTAGTGATCGTTAGTTGAAGGTAGAATAAAATGCTGCTGCAGGCTCATCACACTCGAGACACCATGCAAACATTAGTATGGGATTTTGATTTCTACTAACTTCATTTGCTGTAACTGTTCTGATGACACAAATGTCTGAAATACAGAAGGGAGATGGACTGCCCCAGTGTTCACATGTTGTCTCTGAAGTCCCAAATATCTACAAGTTCTTGCATCAACGTACAAGACAAGCTGGAAAAAAGAACATTCTGATTTTCTGTATTATTGATTTAACTTGTTACAGGAAAGTAGCTTTGTGGCTGGAACATATAAGCCTGCAACAAACATCATGCTGCGAAATGGCCCTGAGGCTGCAACTGAAAAAAAAACCAACAAAAAACCAAAGAACACCAAGTAGTTAGAACTAAAATATGATGTGCTCCTGCTAAAATTCTTCTCCTTTCTGCAAATTCATTTCTATGAGCCTCTTGAGTAATTTTTTGACTGGAAAAAAACAATCAGTTCAACAATCTGAGCATGACTCATACTAGAAGGGAATATTTACATAGTTCAATTACTTGCCTATCAGATTAATATAGCAAGGTAAGATGTGAGTTAGTTTACTTTCTCCTGGTTGCATTTATTTCAAAATAGCAAATAATATGGCCTGGTTTTGCTTTAGATCTACTTGAGGAAGCTTGATAACACGTGCCTTTCACACGTCAGTTTGTCTTTATATGACATAATGAATTATGTTTATTATGATAATGATATTTTCTAACTTTTTTTCATATTATTGGTATTTTTCATACCAACAAGCTCTGAAAGTAATGCATATTACCCACTGTCTCTCTTACAACTACATATCCTCTCCTTGGAGGTATTCCAGTAGTTCCAATCTCAGCACCAGATCTGCAGAGGGATCACACTAATTTTAATGAGATCTGGACTTCAATGAGCAATCTGTCAAGTCACTTGCAGCCTGTCCAAGGAATCACCAGAAGGTCGTACGGTTTTCCTGCAACCTTCAGTATTTCAGGCTCCAGGCCAAGCATCCATAATCAGCACAGATGGCACCAAAGAACTGCAGCCCAGCGTAACTGCACTAATGAAGCCATGTACTTTCCACAAGAGCAAACACAACAGGGCACCGCTAGCAACTGGCAGAGAAAGGGAAATACCAGACTATACTAAGCAAAAGCAAGACTCCCATCTGTGCTTTCAAGATCATAACAACTTCCAAAAATGGAAATGAGATGCAAAACACAATTTAACTAAACAACACTGATTTGTGCTCTGATGCAATGAGGCAGAAGTTTTGTTCTCCAAATCCTGCTAGGGAGTGATCTGCTATGTAGAGATCTGCTATGTAGAATCTAGAAATCTGGGAAGGAGGTGGAAAAAATCTGCCTTGCTATAGCATTCCACTAAGAACTAGATACTAGGCAGCTTTTTGGCTGCAGTCCACCCAAGAGTTAAGCTGCAGGCTTTCGTTGCTTGTAGCAACAGAAGATGTACTGGAAAGAAATCAGAGTCACTTTCTGGATGCCAAGATGTGCAGGATGCTCTCAGTTCTTTTTCTGGGAGGAAAAAACTGGCACTAGGTCCTTCTGATCCCCTGCACAGTGGCCACATGCAAACAGTTCAGCCTCCTGTACAGCAGTTTTGTTATGTTTTCTACTTTAGTGATCGAAGAAATATAACCTTTGTGGCAACACCAGATCCAGTACCTTTGCCTGAAAGTTGAGATTCAGGATGGTAGCAGCATTGGTAACCAAAGTTAATTACTCTCAAGAGTCATGGGGACTGGAACAGAAAGCAAACAAGTAAGCAAACTTTACATTTGTACTCTGGCATCAGCCAATACATTATTGATAAGCTGATGAAGTACCAATGTGTTACTCTTATTATATCAGAGTATTCCTGAAAGCATCTAATGCAAAAGTGAGTGTTATCTTCAGGTAACTCCATGATAACCCTTACCTTTCAGTTCTGCAATAACTCTTACCTTTGAGTGCTCTGAAAGAAAGTCTGGGAGGAGATAGACCTGTGCTAGAAGCTCTATGTAGTCACGGCAACGGAAGTAATATATGTGAGAAAGGATACTTTCCAGAGAAAAAGTCTCCAAAGCTTTTAGATGATCTGAGAATAAACAGATGAATAACCAAGTCAACAACCTGTAGGTACAGGCATACTGCTGCCCTAATTATTCCACCATTCCACATACAGCAATAATAGCAGCAAACCTCCCAGAAACTCTGCTAAGATAAACCAGCGAAGGTAAGGAGGCAGGAAACCTATTTTCCATCTGGTTTGAAAGTCAGGAGGGTAGTGAGCAGATGCTTGCTCAGCGTTAGCACACGGACACACTGGAGCCTCCAAGGGAGTGCTCAAAAAATGAAAAATTAACTTACGAAAAAGAACTCTTCAATCACTTTCAAACCAGAGCACCACAATGAAACAACACACAGAAAAAAAGTTACCCTTAGATGAGATCAGCTCAGTCTGCAGTACGGCTCTACAGTCACACTGACGCAGTTGTGGGTATGATACATAGAGATGGAAGTAAAAGGCTGGCAGCAAGAACTGCTTAAGCAAGCACTGCTTCTGAAACCCTTCAACTGCAAAATTCACTCTTTGGAAGTGGCCCACCAGACAGAAAAAAATGATTTAGCAACATACCTTCTTCTTGATGAGCTTCAGCAATAAGCTGGCAATGCTGCACGCAGGCAGTTGCAATATCCGCTGCTCTGTCTACCATAAAACTGCCTTCAGTATCAATGAACACTGCTTCCCCAGCTACACCCCCAAAGCATTCCGGGATCTGGACATCCACTGCCAGCTGCATACTGCCATGGAAAACAAAGACGAAAAGATAAATAAGTACATTACAAATCTCCCCCTCCAAACTTGTTACATTTCTGCTAAGGAACAGTGCCAGGAAAGAACAGGTCCATAACAAGATGAACTCTCACCGTCCTTAAATTCAACAAAGAAAAGTGATTCTCAGTTGCACAGAAGTAATCTAAAAAAACCAAATACCATAGTTGTGTTTTCCCAACACCAGGTGCTCCACAGATCTCAGTAATTTTCGTCAGTTGCACACCACCTCCCAGAATGTTGTCCAGCGCTGAACAAAAGGTGATGATGAAGCCCTGTGCTTGCTCTTCTTCCAGAAGTTCCAGAGCTGTGCACTTCCTGGTGCTGTCTGACCCCCCAGCCGTCTTTGCTGCATTGCCAGCACATTCCTGCCTGACAACCTGTAATACTTCCAGCGCCTCTTCTTTGGAGACCCCAATTTCTAGGAGAGACAAAGTCATGAGAAGTTACTTTGTTTTTACAATTTATTTAGAATACAAACAGAAAACACAGCTTGTTTGGCAGAACCTGATACTTCTGCTGCGTGACTCAGAATTATTAATCTTTTTAGTATAAAACGCTTGCCAACACATTCAGAACTAATGATCCGGTCTGCAGAAGAACTTGGAGCAGCTGAGGCGTCAGAAGGCAATGAGCAATCTGCAAAACGGCCGTCCACAGCCACGCTTAGGATCAGGGAGAGCAGCGTGCTGCTGAATAACCTCGTCTGAAGCAAGAAAGTCCCCGAGGGCAGTCGGGCTGCTGGCCAGTGGGCAGCAGCAGCACCCACAGATCACAGCGAGCAGCGAGGCAGCGCAGGGCAGAACGCAGCACTCAATATTTCAGTCCTGAAACAAAGTAGTGCCTGCAAATGTCCTCACATGCTTACAGGGTGTTATCACTGAGGGCCGCCCAGCAGACTGACAGGCAGGCTTCAGCCTCCTGAAAAGCAGTTCTTGTAACTTCATACAGGTTCACTTCGTGTAACGCGTGCAGCTAAGAGGAGGAACGTGACAGTGTTTTATTTCCAGTGCTTATCGCTCAGTATAACCAGCGACCGCCTCATTTCCCTCTACCCTGGAGGTGCCCCAGGTCCCACAGGGAAGCTGCCACAGTACAGACCTCAGGACGGGTAATACACTTCAGCCTCTCAAGGTGCTTCACGAGCATTAAGCCCTGACACGAGCATTAAGCTCTGACACGAGCACAGCCCCGCCGCAAGGCGCTTCCAGCTCCCGCACGGGAAGCGCGCCGACCCGAGGCACGGAACGGCCTGCAGGCCGGGGAGAGCCCGCCCCGCGCCGGTACCTTTGCTCAGCCCGCACGGACCGGTCTCCAGCAGCTCCTGCGCTGTTTGGAAGCCGGCGGCCAGCAGGCGGGCACGCAACGCGGGGCTCAGCGGCAGGCTGCCCACGTCCCGCTGCATGCCGCGCACACCGCCCCGCGCGGCGCCAGCGCGGCTCTGAGGGAGCGGCCCGTGCGCATGCGCGATGGAGGGGAGGGGGGGGGCAGTGAGGGAAGTGTCTGCGCGCGCGGGCTGTGAAGGCGCGAGGCGTGTGGACACGTGTCCGGGGCTGCGGCCGTTGGGCGGTGGCGGCGCGAGGCTGTGAGGGAGTGGCGAGGAATAACGAGCGGTGCTGCGGCGGGTTTGGTGGCCGTGCTGAGGGAATGGATCAGAGAGCAGCGGTGCCGAGCTAGCCGTGAGCCAGAGGCGGTTGCCGGCTCTGTTCTGTCTTTGCTCGTATGCCTACGCGGTTCTCTGGGTGGCCCGGTGGCCTCCTGCGCCTTCTCCCTTAGCAGGGCTCTGCCCGAGCCTGCAGGCAGGCTGTGCTCAGGCGGCTCGGAGCAGCCAGCAGCCGCACCGTGCTGACGGCCGTTCTCTTTGTCGGCAGGGCTTTCAGCTACTGCTGACAGCTTCACCTCCTGACGTTCTCGAAGCCTGAGGTAACTCGGAGCCGTGACACCGTGCAGCCTGGCCTCGTGCTGAGGGAGGAGGATGGCTCACGTGCAGCCTCTGCCCATTCCCTGCCCTGTGCAGCTCGGGAGTTTGAAAGGAGATTCTCTAGAAGCTCAGCTGCACGAGTGCGTCCGGCAGGGGAACTGCAGGAAGGTGAAGAAGCTCCTGAACAAAGGTAAAAACTCGCTTAAAAAGGGCCCTGTGGAAAAGCTCTTATTTGAACCACGTGCTTATATCTGTTCAGAGGGAAAAAATAGGTAGAATCAGAATGCTGTCCATCAATACAGTTGTGGAGATACGTTTATAAAAACTGTTGCCTTTGGCCTTCTTGGCAAATGGCACTAATTAATAAAATGTGCTTTTGGCTGTAAGGCTTACAGGACCTCAGTCTCAAGTGATGGAGGTTCTGTAAAACTAAGTTCTGAAGGTCTGCTTTAGGAATGTCCAGAGGGCATTTTAAGTCTTTAACAGGGTGGTTAAAGTATGGGTTTAGATATTGGTGTTTTTAATGACATGGGGACAGGAATGGCACAAATGAACCCTGGTAGTTGGTGCAGTTGTTAAGTAGAAATGTTCCTAAATCATTGAATCAGAGCAGAATGCTGATAGCCTGGAAGTGCTGAACACAGCAATGAAAAGGAAGCAGCATGTATGTATGCGGTGTGTACTCTGCATAACACAGGGAGCTTTGGACGTGATATTCTCTAGAGATGGAAGAAATGTGACTGTGAAGATTAATTGTAGGCTTGAAGGTAGTTTTTCCTAAATGTTATTGAACATTTAAATCTCATGCTCTGATCTCTAAGAGTGTGACTACGCAGCACGAGCGCCTGGCTGCTATGGAGGGCTGCCCAGCGACTGCAGCCGCCGCTCACCGTCGCGTCCGTCTGAGTGGAGCGGCCCTCCAGCAGGGGGCGGTGTCCCCGCCCCGTCCCTTGAGCGGTGCTTTTGATTGGTCGGCCAGGGCGGAACATGCAGATGAGGGCGTGTGTCCGAGCTGCAGTGTCGCGCTTTTGGGGTTCCCGCATCGGGGCCGGGGGGCGGCGGGAAGATGCAGGAGCGCGGGTGTGTGCGGGGAGTGACGGTGCGGGGCTTGGGGCGGGACTGGAGCTCGGTGCGAGCGGTGTCCGTGAGCTGGAGGGCGGTGCGCGGCGAT